ATATATTAATTTATTTGTTTAAAAAAATACTTAAAATTTGTGAGATTTGAACCGGCCGGTTCAAAAATAACCGGACCGGTTCACCGGTTCGCGGTTGAACCGGCCGGTTCTGACCGGTTCAGTCCGGTTCTTTGCAGAAACGGTTTTAGGACTGAACCGGACCGGCCTTGTGACCGGTTCACGGTTGAACCGGTCGAACCGGCCGGTCCGGTCCGGTTTTTAAAGCACTGATGCTACCACTTTAGTTTGGAATCCCTGTTCCGGTGATTTTGATGTGAACTACTTTAAAGTTTCTTTACTATTTTTTAAAGTAATTTTTTATTATAAAAATTTAGTAAGAAAGTTGTCCCAAACAAAATTAGGGGTGTCAATTCGGGTCAACGGGTCGGATTCGAGTCGATTCCGGAACTGACCCGATACTATTCGAGTCAATCCGAACCCGTCACGTTTTTAAAAATGGGTCAGGTTTCTGGACCCAAACCCGATCAGATTCGGGTCCGAGTCAACTCGACCCAACATGAATGACCAGAAGTTGAGCTAAAATTACTAGTTTTTGGGTCAAAAATCAGTTCAATCTTTGATTTTGGGTCAAAAACGGGTCAATCTCGGGTTTCCGGGTCAAGTAGGAGTTTTCGTGTCAATTTCGGATCATTTTCGGGTTGTTGGGTCAACCTGAATCTGTCCGATTTTTAAAACGGGTTGATTTTTTGAATCCGAACCAGACCTGTTTCGGGTACGGGTTGACCATAACCCTGATTTTTTCAGGTCGAGTTTCGGGACGTGTCAAAAATTGACACCCCTAAACGAAACCTAAGTGAATACTAGAAATCATCTTTGAGAATGGGAATATTATTAATACTATTTTTTACTTATTTTTATTTTTCTCTTTTTGAGTGCTCTTAGACACCTTAGACAAAATAAAATTATGACGTTCATAATTTTTGAGGTAAAATAAATAAATTTAACAAATTGAGCAAAAGCATTTATCTTCCATGACGAGTAGATTTTAGGATGGGCAATTGTTAATTATGATGTCTTCTTAGATCATAGAAAGGGCTTTGGAGATCTCTTGCTAGATTTCTAAAAGCCTATTTTTTACCAGAAAATTATTTGATTTTTTTTTTTAGAGAGGGGAATCTAAGTTTTTCTTCAAATTTTAGGCTGCTGTGGCACTCCAAATGAAAAGGTCTTCATTGAAAGATATAGTGTTTGTATAATAACAGAATCTTCTAAAGTGAAAAATAAGCAAATTCAAGAATGATTCGGAATAGTATTCTCTCTCTCTTTTCTTCCAATTGGCTTCAAAGCTGATTGAAAAAAAAAATAATAAGAATCTGTGGATTTGGCCTTGAAGAATCTGAGAATATCTTTCATATGCCTAAGGCCTCCAACCGTTCGGCAAACAGGCGAATGGAGAGCCTCAGACGTCCCAACCGAACTCCATTTTTGCCGGCATTCAGTCGCTGATGAACAATGCGACGCCAATATTGGCGTCGCACTGTTCACTTTCGTCATTTCTTTCTCTCTACCGAACTCTGTCTGAGAAAGGCGCGAAAGAAACGACGATGATTTTGGGGCAAAATGGCGTTCCACTAGAGATTAATCACGGCACTTTTTGATTTTACTCCATTTTACAATGAAAAATGAGAGTTTCGGTTGGAGATGCCCTAAGGCAGCAATATCATGAAGGACCTGTAGTGTCTTTATTTTAATATGCTTTTTATAAAATAGGTTCATATTCTATTTGATTGATCGACGCATTCATAATCTCTTGTACATTTGTAATTAAAGGTTTTCTATAAAAAAATTATTGACATTCGTTCATATTATATTCCTTTTATTGAATTTTCATGATTCGCACTTCAATGGTTCTTAGTGGTTAAAATTACAATGCTAAATTCAAAGGAATTGAGCTATTTTTAATTAAAGTTGATTAGTGACACGCGATGTTTTGATTTGTATTTATTTTTTCAACTAATCAGTTTTATGCTCTTAATCTGATGCTCATTATATTTGATGTAGGATCGATTGAGGAGGCACAAGCAAACAGTTTAGCAATGGAACAGTAAGAACTTGCAACTTGCACAGTTCACTGGTTTAGAGTATATTTTCAGCAAAACTAAGAACACCTTGTAACATCCTTCTACTAAAGAGTAAAGCAAAAGCTAAAAACGGTTAAGCAACTAAAAAGGAGCAAATAAAAGCTATGTCTAAAAACAGCAACGTAAGTGGTAAGAGTTTCTTCTCCAACGAACTACAGCAGGTCCGGTAAGGTGTTCCGCAGTCCACAGGAACAGCTGCAATAATGCTCCGCATCATTCACCCTGAGTAGAAGAAAGGTTGATTCCACCTGAATCAACGACAGTGTCGTTCTCGTCTGGTAGTGGATAGGTGTAGATGTCCGCCACATTGAAGGTATGTGAAGTAGTGAATTCTGATGGCAAATCGATCACATAAGCATTGTCGTTTATCCGGTGTTTAACCGTGAATGGACCAAACTTGCGGCGGCCAAGCTTCGAATACGTCCCAGGAGGAAGGCGTTCCTTTCTTAATCTCACCAACACTTGATCTCCAGGGTTGTAAATTTTCTTCCGGCGATGCAAATCAGCGCTCCTCTTGTATTGCAAATTGGATTCTTGAAGCTTGGCACGGACTTTCGTCAGCATTTCAGTGAATTGATCCGCCAGTGTCGCAGCGGCCTTGTTGTTACACTTAGGAATCACTGCAATATCAACAACAGTGTTGGGGGGTTTAGTATAAACAATACTAAATGGACATCTACCGGTAGATCGGTTCGGCATGGAGTTGAAGGCGAACTCGGCCTGTCCTAGAACGTCATCCCAAAGCTTCGGACTGTCTTGTACTAGGCAACGGAGAAGATTACCCAATGTCCGGTTCACTACCTCTGTTTGGCCGTCGGTTTGAGGATGGTAAGAGGAGCTTAGCTGTATATTGGTGTTCATCCGTCTCCAAAGTTCCCGCCAGAAGTGGCTTATGAACTTAACATCGCGGTCGGAAGTTAGGGATCGGGGAACTCCATGTAACCTCACGATTTCCCGAAAGAATAATTTGGCAATATTGAGAGCGTCGAAAGTTTTCTTACACGGCACGAAGTGCGCCATCTTGGAAAAACGATCGACTACCACCATGATAGAGTCATTACCGCGACGTGTGCGGGGTAATCCCAGAACAAAATCCACACTGAGATCCTCCCAAATTGAGTCAGGTACGGGCAAGGGCATGTAGAGACCGGTGTTCTGACCGCCTCCCTTATAATTCTGACAAATCGAACATCGTTCCACAAAACGAGCTACGTCACGACGTAGATGAGGCCAAAAGAACTTGGCCTGGAGTTGTCCAACCGTGCTGTCACGCCCTGCGTGTGCTCCCAAGCTACCACCATGCACTTCCTTGATGATTTGCTGTCTCCAAGACGAATTAGGGACACACAGGAGATTCCCTTTAAATAAGAATCCATGGCGAATGGAGTAGTCTGTAATCGGCTCAGACTTAAGACACTTCTGCCAAACTTCTCCAAAGTCTACATCATCCGGATACAGATCCTGCAATGATTCTAACCCAAAGAACTCGGTCTGCAGCTGTGTAACCAAAGCCGCCCTCCGACTCAAGGCATCCGCCACCCGATTTTGCGCACCACTTTTATGCTTCAACACAAAGGTAAATTTTTGCAGGAACATTAACCATCTAGCATGCATCCGATTAATATCCTTTTGTGTGTTGATGTATTGGAGAGCCTTGTGATCGCTACACAGCACAAAATCTTGCTGAAGTAGATATGGCTCCCACTGTTTCAAAGCCCGTACAACTGCATATAATTCTTGCTGATATACTATCCACTTTTGCCTGGTGGTACTTAGTTTTTCACTAAAGAATTCAATAGGTTTATTATCCTGTGACAGCACAGCTCCAATGCCAACTGCAGATGCATCAGTCTCAACAGAAAATGGCTTGCTGAAATCTGGCAAAGCCAGTACGGGAGCGGTGGTAAGAGCCAACTTAATCTGCTCAAAACTGGATTGCTGTTCGGGACCCCAAAAGAATGCTTTAGCCTTGAGAATATCTGTGATGGGTGCAGTAATAATACTAAATCCTCTAATAAATCTTCTATAAAAATTTGCTAAGCCATGAAAACTTCTAATTTCGGTGAGGGTCTTCGGAACTGGCCAATCATGTATGGCCTTGATCTTGCGGGGGTCGGCATTCATGCCTTCTGCGGTGATAATGAAACCCAAAAAGGATACTGATGATGCAGCAAATTCACACTTTGTCATGTTCAAGAAAAGCTTATTACTCCTCAGATTCTCTAGAACACCTTCTAAATGAATCAAATGCTCATCTAATGTGTTGCTATAGACTAAAATGTCATCAAAATATGCAACGCAACAGTGATTGAGGAACGGTCTCAATACCTCATTCATTAATCTCATGAAGGTGGAGGGGGCGTTACAAAGGCCGAACGGCATCACTCTCCATTCATATAGCCCCTATCGCGTCTTAAACGCAGTCTTCCACTCGTCGCCGGGCCGGATTCTAATTTGATGATAACCACTCCTCAAGTCCAGCTTTGAAAATATTTTTGATCCAGCCAATTTCTCCATCATTTCTTCCATCCGCGGCATTGGAAATCTAAACTTCACTGTAATTTTATTGATTGCCCTGCTGTCGACGCACATTCTCCACGTGCCATCCTTCTTCGATACCAGAAGAGCCGGTACGGCGCATGGACTCAAACTGTGCTGAATCAATTGTTTATCCAGCAGCTCATCAACAATCTGTTGCAATATAGCATTTTCATTAGGACCCAACCGGTAGTGTGGTTGATTCGGCAATGAAGCACCCGGTACTAGATCAATTTGATGCTGAATTTCTCTCATAGGTGGAAGCTCGGTTGGTACATTATCAGTGCAGATATCCGAAAATCGCTTCAGCAGATCAGCTACAGCAATCGGCAACTCCTTCCCAACAGTGATCGGAGAGATCTCTTTTACTATTAAAGCCATCAAACTAGTGGATTCTCTCCATGCATTCAACAATGCATTAGCAGATACAGCAAACAGAGCATTACCTTTTTTTGGAGATTCAATTGATGAACTGTAGTTGTGTGGAACCAAACGCAGTCGCCTACCTTTCCAATCAAATGAATATGTGTTGGCTCTACAGTCATAGGTAGCTCCCACATCGTACTGCCACGGTCTCCCCAAAATAATGTGACACACGTCCATGTCTAGGACATCACATAAAACTTCACTAACATAGTGTTTCCCGATAGAGAACGTCACTTTACATAGCTCCGTTACTGTCATTTCAACACCCTTCTTGACCCAGCTGATCTTGTACGGGTTCGAGTTCTTCGTGGTTTTTAGCTTCAGAGCCTGCACCATGGATCGCGACACAACGTTCTCCGTGCAGCCACTGTCCACCAGTAAATCACACATCTTTCCCCTGATAGTGCACTTAGTCTTAAATAATGCATTTCTTTGGGAGGTGCTGGGTTGTTTTGGAGCTAATAACAACTTTTCTAGGACACAAATTAGTGGTTCCCCACTGTCAGCCTCCACATCCTCGGGAATTGGTTCTGAGTCCGAATTGTGTTCCTCGAGATCATCTTCCCCTTCGGCATCCAGCAACTGTAATTGAGGTCTTGTGGGACACTCATTGGACTTATGTCCCGATTGGAAACACCGAAAACATTTAATATTAGATGGTTTGGCATAGGGGTTCTCTTTGGCCGTAGCTCTGTCCCGGCCTGCTGATCGGTTCTCAGCAGCACGTCCCCCAGAATTCAGTCCCCCCATTGCTCCCTTGCCTAGACTTTGCTGTTTGCCAAGTGGAGAGGTTGACGAAGTTGCATTTCTGTGAATATCAGCTGACTGATCTCCGACAGGAGAAGCTCTTTTAAATTGTTGGCCCTTATTATGTCGCACCATCTGCATTTCAATCTTCAGGGCGTAGTTGACAGCTTGCGACAACGACCAAACGGAATTCAATTCCAATTTATCTTGAATCGCCTCCTTGAGCCCGCCAATGTAACGAGCGACAAGTTGATTGGCTGTTTCGTTCAAATTATTCCTAGCACTCAGGCGGTAAAATTCTTCTGTGTAATCGTTGACCGAACGATTACCTTGGCGGCAATGTTGATATTGCTGATACAACATCTGCTCATAGTCGGTCGGAAGGTAGTGACCTCGTAACAATTGTTTCATTCTCCTCCAATTCCGCACTGGACCTCGCCCTTCTCTTCGCCGAGACTGTAAAATCTGTTGCCACCACGCGCTAGCTCCAGCTTTAAGCCGACAGGCTACATACTTCACCTGTTTAGTCAGTTCAATCTCCATATACTCGAAGAAAGTTTCAACCGAACGCTCCCAATCCAGGTAGTCTTCAATGTGTAATTTTCCATCAAAATACGGGATGTCTAATTTGACTCGAAACTCACCGTTCGGCCGGTTAACATCCCTCGGTCGCCTCCGCCGATGATTAAACACTTCTTCTTCTTCTTCCGAATCAAAATGGTCTGAATTGCGGACTTCCCCTGCTTCAAAATCTGAGTCAGACGATTCCTCCAGCTGATTATCTCGCGGCCGAAGGCGCTCTGGTCCCGCTCCTCGCCGCACGACCGGAGCATTCCGGTTGGGAACAATCCGATCTAAACGGATGGTAATTTCCCTCAGCTCTCGGCGTATCTCTTCATGAATCCGATGCACGTCATTCTCTAGCTCTTCTGTGCGTCGCCCCAGCACTTCGTGCGCCGCCCACAGAGCCTCTAGGCTGTTGTCACCGTCGGGAGCCACCCGCCTGCTGCTTTCGGCCATCAAGCTCTGATACCAAAAACTGATGTAGGATCGATTGAGGAGGCACAAGCAAACAGTTTAGCAATGGAACAGTAAGAACTTGCAACTTGCACAGTTCACTGGTTTAGAGTATATTTTAGAAAAACTAAGATGGAGATGCCCTAAGGCAGCAATATCATTAAGGACCTGTAGTGTCTTTATTTTAATATGCTATTTATAAAATGGGTTCATATTCTATTTGATTGATCGACCGCATTCATAATCTCTTGTACATTTGTAATTAAAAGTTTTCAATTTAAAAATTATTGACATTATTGATTGTTCATATTATATTCCTTTTATTGAATTTTCATGATTCGCACTTCAATGGTTCTGAGTGGTTAAAATTACAATGCTAAATTCAAAGGAATTGAGCTATTTTTAATTAAACTTGATTAGTGACAAGCGAAGTTTTGATTTGTACTTTTTTCAACTAATCAGTTTTATGCTCTTAATCTGATGCTCATTATATTAGTTTGGACCTTTATATATAAAAACCGAAGGATTTGAATACAGCTTAAAATTATAAAGATCTTGAATCTTTGGTAAAATCTGAACTAAATAGGCACTAGGTGTTGGAAATTTTCAAGGAAAGAGCAAGCTTAATAAGTGTAAAAAGGAAACCATTTTGACTTTTTGATGTTGTTAAAATTATTGCAAAGCCAGAGCCATTTTGAATATAAATTATAAAGTTGTAAGGATAATTTGATTCTGAAATTTATTTTCACATATGAGATGGCAATTCTTCACTTAAATGAAAAGAAACTCCATACTCCTCCCAGAATATTAGAAGGTAGAGTTGTTTGTACAACTGAACAAAGTTATGATGCTATATGTTGGAGCACTATAGCGCTTCAGGCTTGGGCTGAAGATAGAGAATGAATCATTGCGACACCACAACCTGAGCGTCGTGGCAATGAGAGGTGGGCCAAGCAGTTTTTTTTCTATTTTCCCTTATTTCATTTGAAGGGTTGTGTCAATTGGATGTTTTTAAGTGCGTCTCTTATTTATTTTTAGTAGATAATATTTATGAAGTGAATAGAGACAAAAATAGAGTGTAAGAACATATCTATATGATTTCTTCCAATTTTTATAATAACTTTCTTATTGTAGCATGGCTTCATAATTTTTTCTTGATTTTGAATTTTTCCATATTTAAAATATGGTGTTCTTTCTTCTGCGCGTGTGTGTATGTGTGTGTATATATATATATATATTCTCTTGCTGTGTGACTATACTTCCCAACAAAAAGTAGATGGATCAAATGCATCAAAGACAATTGTACAAATTTGAACCACTAGGAGATTATAACTTGTCGACCACTTTCAATCTCGTTGATTTATCTCCTAACTTTAAACCATAATGTAGTGCTACTAGAGAATCTTGTCTTACCCTGGGCAAATTATTGTGTCCGGTCTCCAGATTCATCCGGACACCAATAAAATCGCGCCACGTCTCTCAAAAATACCGGGGCCCAGTGCATCCAAGTGAGCTGGCGTGTCCGGATTGGATGTCCGCATCTCAGGCGACCAGATGCAATAATTTGCCCTTACCCTGACACTGCTCAGCTGGGGCGTGCTAGTGGTTCTCTGTTTGTTGCAACACAAGTGGCCAAAGAGCAGAACTTTCTTTCTGTTATGATGTTTTCGGTTGTGTAGCTATAGCTGAGACAATTCTTTATTTTAAAGGAGTGTTGGGTGAATAAGAATTTCTTTGAAAAACGTTGCTCTCTTTCTCTGTATCCTGCACGTCTCGTTCAGGTTGAGATTTTTTTGCTACCTTTTATAGCACCTCCCAAATTGAGAGAACCGAATTCTCGTCATTAATTACTGTTGTTCTCGGAGTAAATTCATCAAACACCTTGCGGTATTAACTGCTGCAAATTCTTTAGAGGAGCCACATTTTTTGAAATGATACTACGAAATCATAAAAAGTCTATTTTTTATGTTTGTTTTTTAAAGCTCATGTCTTTTCTATAATTTTAGAAATATTTTCTTAAGAAAAGCTTTTCAAAAGAAAAAATTTTGAAAAAAAAATGATCTTTCAAACACTTTATTTTTTACTAATTCTTTTTTATAAAAAAAAAATCAATAAAAAACTTGTTCGAAACAAAACCTAAGGCATCCTTTGAGATAGCTTTTGAACACTTTTTTTGATAATTTTAAAAAAAGTTTGTAAAAAAAAAAAATAATTTAGAAGGTCCTAATAGTGCTGTTGTAAAAGATAACATAATTTTGATATGCAACAACTAATGAATTTTATTTCAATATATTAAAAAATAATTATAATTTTTTTTAAAATTTTTGATCAAATAATTTTCTTTCTATTTCATTACTTTAGAAAAATTAAAAAAAAAAAAGGATTAAAATATTTTTTTATTTAGAAAACCAACGGAGCATTTTTTTTTAAACTATCGTGAATTATTAGCATTTTAACAAAAGTGTACAAAATGGTATAGAACTGATATATCCTCAAAAAATTATCTTGACCGGGCACGAATCTCGAGGCAAAATCGAGCTGGAAACATAAAAAATTAACTCCGAGATCACCTGAACTCCGATTTCAACAAGCTTATAGTCAAACCGAGCGTCTCGGAAATATGAACCCAACAACACCAAATTCAACTCGATCCAAGCCCAAATGAGTCCAAATCAAGCACAAGAAGCATTGTTGGAAAGTTCAAACCATAATTTGAGTTACCAAACGGTTTCCAATATGACGTTCTTATAGTCAAATCGAGCGGCTCGACGAGGCGAATCCAACGAGCCCAAGATCGCCAAATTCCGACATCATTAAGACCTTCAAATGTCTGACGAACGGTGCATGATCAAGGGATTCAATATCGGCCGTCCATCCGATCACTCCCTATTTACCCCTGATCTCTCACCTATTTACAAGTCATGCCACTCCAGAATATCTATAAATAGGCCTCCTCATTTCTCATGAGGGGAGGCCCAAGCAAGAAGTAAGCCAGAAGAAGAGAAGAATAAGAGAAGGATGGGAGGGAAGAAACTCCTGCACGACCACCGCCGGAATTTTCGCCCAAACTCCAAGTGACGCCGGAATTCTGCTCGATCTCCTAACGATGTTGAAATTCTGCCCGACGCTCAAGTGACACCAGAATTCTACCCAAGTAATGCTGGAGATTCACTCGAACTCCACGTGACGCCGGATTTCTCCTCGGCTTCCAACTGACATCGGACTTCTACTCGACGCCAGACCTCCGCTCATCACCATGTTTCTACCCGATGCTGGACTTCTACCGGTTATTCGAATTTCACTGGACATCTATTCATTGCTGGATTTATATCCATTGTTGGACTTATACCTGACGCCATCCTTCTGACCTTCGTCGTCAAACAACAGTCCTTTCGACATCCGTCGCCCGCCGACAATGATCTTTCTGGCTTACATCGCGCACCGACTACCATCCATCTGGCCTCCGTCGCCCGCCAACAATGTTCCTTCTAACTAACATCATCCGCCGATTACAGTCCTTCCGGCTTCCATTGCCTACCGACAACGGTCCTTCTGACTCATGTCGCTCACCGACTACAGTCCTTCCGACCTCCAACGCCTGCCGACAACTATCCTTCCGATTTTCGTCGCCCGCCGACTACAGTCCTTCCGATCTCCATCGCTCGCCGACTACAGCCTTTCCGACTAATGTCGCACACCTACTACAGTCCTTCAGACCAAACAAATAAATCAACAGTGATGCTTTGTATTCTCACCATGTAATGTACTCTATAAGATGTATATCAAGCTAAGGCCTTCTCCCAAGGAAGAGCCTTATTTGTAATCAACTGCTATACTAGTGGATTCATTCAAACTGGGCTAAGCCCTGTGGTTTTTCCCTCTTTTTAAGGGATTTTTCACGTAAAAATCTTGGTGTCTCATAAGTGCTAGACCCTCTCTCTTATCTGATTGCGTGCCGGACTTCCATACAACGCTAAGAAACTAAACTTTATATTTCCCTACCGCTGTGAATACTCCTGGACGCAACAGTTTGATGTCGTCTGTAGGAACGTAGTTTCCGACTAGGAGGCAAAATTGCTCCAACCTCAGAATGTCGTTCATGCCAACTTCCTAACATCAACTATTGGTGCATCATTTCATGAAATTAAATCCAGACTGGGGGCAACTTTGACTTTAACTGTGATGAAGAAGATCCCTCCATTGTTTTCAATATAGAGCATCTGACAAAAAAACATTAATACAGTAAGAAAACAGTAGTTAAAATCGCTGTGAGAAAAATATCTCAAATAGAGACTTATTTATTTTCTAGATTAAAAAAAAAAGTTATATTTTATCCATCCTTTGCTACAATAATTAGATATCATGCTTTTTAATATAAATTTATGTTAAGAGCCTAAGAGAAGATTAAAAAAAAATAATCACAAATGTTAAAACAGTTGTACAACAAATAATTAAATTAAATTTAGTTTTAATAAATATTTATTTTGTCTTATATTTCAGATGAACTATCCTTCCCTTTTAATTATTTATCTTGATTTTTTGATTAAAAAAAAAATTATCTACATATCCGGGCCCCTTTATTTTTTTTATTTATTGTTATTAACTTATTATTATTATTTATTTATTTATTCTGTATTTATTTTTTGAATCCGAAAGATGGGCCAAAAGCGGAAAGTGTTCCAAAATTGTCATCAGTCAATTAGATGCCAACAGATATAAGCCCATTATAATTTAAAAGCCCAAACCTTAGTCTCTGAAAATTAACTTAAGAAAATTAAAGATTGTTTCGGCCGATTACTTTGTCAAAAAGGTACCAAAATAATTCCAAATTATTTTAAAATGGAACGCTATATTGTCGACTTAAATAATTTTAAAGTATTTTAATTCAGCAAAAAAATAATATGGGTTTCTACTTTAATTTTTTTATTGGGTCTAAACAAAAAGGGTCGAGGCCCATTAGATCTGAAATGAGGTAGCCCATCTAAATCAAACCATGAATGCCT